CAATCGTTTCTATGGACGGAGTTATCTCAGCTCATTCCTTAGGCTCCTCGTTTTTTAGTGGAATTCCATCAGTTAAACTGGTACTTTGTGCTGTTGTAAAGGAGTATTTATGCTCGATAAATTGTTTTTTTTCAGTTCGATTCTTTCTGAGCGTGGTAGTATCCCACCAATATTTGTTGTTTTCTTGTTGATTTTTAAATTAACTGTCAGGTGTGTAGGATGTTACATAAACCTTGCGGCGAGGCTGGCGAAAGAGACGTTGCAAAAGGTGTCACGCGTGCGGCATCCGCAGCAGGACCTAATTGTTTTAACGCGAACATGTCGAACTGATCAGCTGAAAAACACTTTGGTGTTTAATGCATGTGCAATGTGGATGTGACGTCACACACCGTAGTCAATGGAATAAATGCAGTAGTTGTGCTAATTATATCATTTAGGGTAAGGCGGCATGTCGCTTTTGGCGGAGCCGCGTCGTAGGCAGCGACTAAGTGTGGATCCTCAGAACGTCCAATGGAAAAACGATGATCAGAAGATCTCACGAAAGCTGATGGAACGGATGGGATGGTCCGACGGTGATGGCCTGGGCAGGAATCGCCAGGGTAATTCCGCGAATGTGAAACTGAAGGCCAACTATACTGGAAAAGGTGAGCTAGCAAAGCTTGCGCTGTGTGGCGGCACTAAGGGGTGGTAGTAGTTTGAGCAGTATCGAAGCTGATGACTAAAACCTCCGTGATAGTGGTAGGGGGCGGGTCAACTGCGCAGTTTCGCTAAGCTGTTTTGTCTCGTGCGCGTGATCTATAGTGTGGTTCGCTGCGGACGGTTGGGCGTGTCAGGCGGGATGAGTTTGGCGCGGTGCCAAACCGTTCTCCACCAGTTGTTAAAGCGAGCAAATGTATCATATCGTTCGTATTACTCGTTTTCTACCACTTTTCGTCGCAGCCGCGCTTCAACAAGAAGGCAGAAAAAAAGCCGTTTTCTGCCTTCTCTCTCACTCATACTGCCTGACACGCCCACCGTCCGCAGCGAATTAAAGTGTAGTTCGAGCGCAGCTCGAATCTCCAGCACCGCGTGAACCCCTAAAGTTATTGGACAAGCCAGCTTCTTATCCTAGAACCTCGAGTTGTTTGTGAGTGTAGGTCAGGGTTACTGGACACTGAGCACTCCATGCTGTGTTTTTTCTATGAGGAGCTTTTTCTATGTAGCAGTTTTCCGAGTTAGAAGACTACGTAGCCATTGAACAATGACTTTGGTATAGTATGCTATGCTTCACTTTTTGTCATTTTTTGAGTTTCCCATATTGAAGGTCTTGGTGCTGACAAGCTAGCGTCGTACGATAGCACTTGGATCGGACATCATGATGATTTTGCTGACCTGCTTAGCGCTTTGAACAAAAATAAGGAAAAGGTTGGCAATTTTCCACAGAAAAGCTTTTGTCGGTATCACCAGTTAGCCTAAAATCTTCTCTGTTGTTTTAGAAGGCAGAGACGGAAGAAGAAAAAGAGGAGCGAGCAAAGAAAATCTCATTGGGATTAAATAGCAAGAGCTTGAGAAGGAGGATTCAGTAAGTTTCTCTAATGAAGATGGAGTAGAATACTGAAATTAAATTTTATAAGAGAACTACGATAGACCACCAGTTTTGATGCTATGACAGTTGGGGGGGGGGTGAGGTCCAGCCACACCAATATTCTGCTCGTCTGCGCTCTCTCTGTAAGGCAGTGTGTCGCTGCATGTTTGCGCTGACCTGGATAGAGCATACGATAAGCAGTGAATGGCTCGTGGATTGCGCTGCAATTCCATGTCTCTTCCCCGCACTAGAACTTCATGCATCCATAGCCGACTGGGATAGCTATGGTAGCGATATCTGCGATCAATTACAATGTTTCTTATTCAAGCTATCAGAAGTTTACCCGTGCCAAAGATATGCGCGAACATATCCACGCGGAAAATGATCGTGCCGGTCTGTTATTGGGGATTGCCGGCTGAGCCAAAAAGCAAAAACCGATAGCCCGCTGAGAAGGAAAAAACAGAGAAAGAGGCCAGTCCAGTTGAGGAAAAGCAAGAGAGATGTGCGGAACTCAGTTCGAACACGACTGTGAGCACTCTATCGGTCGCCGAATATTTCGCTGCTAAGATGGCGGCTCTGAAAGCTAAGAAGGAGGAGCTGTCATGTGAAGCTCAGGTAAGATTCACAGCAAGTACATACATGAGGTTGTATCTCCAGTGGAGGTTGAATTTGGTCGCTAGAGATAGAAAGGAGGACCATATTCGCCTAAGAAATTCTTTTTTGGTGGCTGATTTTTGTTGTTTCACGCACATTAACCATAACGTTAGGAGTCTCTCATAGGAAGGGAGGGGAGGGGTTGTATTTACCCATCGTGCAAGAAAAGTCGTGCCTGGCTCTGTATTTTTTTCGTGCTTTTTTCCGGTGGTTGAGTTCTCACGTTTTTTTTGTTTCACGTGTGCTATGTGCTCTCTCGACGGGAAAATTTCGGGAAAAAGCGAAAATTTCTGGAAAAAGGTAGAAAGTTAGGAGAAGTCAGCAGGAGCTATAAATCGTACTGGCATGTAAAATTCGGGGGCGGAAAAAGGTCGTATTGTGTAAAAATTTTCACTTAACAGCAGGGATTTCCTGACAACGGGCACCAAACGAACATTGGCTACATTTCAGGCAGATTCAGAGATGAAGACAGAGGTAATGGTCAAGGAAGAGGAAGAAACCGAGGAGATGACGTCAAAGGGGAGGAAAAAGAGGAGGAAAGAAACGAGAAGGCTTGAAGAGGCGCTGCGCTATGAAACACCATCGGAAACATACGAAATGAAGGTAGAGGTTGTCGAAGAAGAAGAACAGAATGTAGAAGATGATGAGGAAAAGCGGAGACAAAGGAAAAGAGAACGGAAGCTGAAAAGGCGACAAGAAAGAGCGCAACAAGCAGCTGAGGTTCGGTTTTCTTTCTTCTTGATAATGGTTTCTTCGGCGCTGTGCGGCTTGGCAGGGGCATTTCACACTTTCGCTAGTTCCTTTTGCTGGCCCATGTTAATTGACAAGTCTCACTTTGGTCAGACCTGTAAACACCTGCCAAGCTGCGAAATTGTTCGAGTGAGCCATTTCGGTCACAGGAATTTACAGGTCCTCACATGTTGGCTTGAACAAGCTTCGCCAAGTATCATTTGGTGTTCCCTCCTAACCAAACCGCGGCGTTTTTTTTTCCAATTTTTGGTGTTTCTATCTAGTTTACTATTTAAGAGTGCTGTAAAGAAAGCAAAAGTAGAAGAGCAAGACAATGAGGACACTGATACAATCGAAGTACGGGTGAAGAAAGAGAAGAGGAACAAAGAGAAGCGAAACGTGGAATGTGAGGGTAGGTCGGTCATGTGTCGCCATTTTGTGAAATGTATCTGGTCAGTTGTTCCCGAAGTTTACTTGAAGACTCATTCCACGATAACTTGATGGGCGGGGACCTAAGCCACTGGGCCTTCTCAGTGGTGTGTCCCTCCATCTAGTACCGCGAAGAGAGGAATGCGCAACCGAGGAAGGCACATACCTTATGTGTCTCCGCCCACCTATTTATCGCGGAATGTAGCCCTGATCAGTCACACTGGTTATGGAGTTATTGTACCAAAATGTAGGGCCCTCAAGATTCACTTTCAGATATGGTCGTCGCTGAAGATTTAGATGTTGAGGTAAGAAGAAAGAAAAAGAAGAAGAGTAAGAAAAGCAGGCAAGAATCAGATGAATGAGCATACTAAAGTAACTTTCGTGGAGGTCTTAACCTCGTTTTAACCTCAGCTATTCCTTTCTACCTGGATTCTTACAGCAGTAAGATAACTTTTTATTATTCATTGTACCAGAGGGTGACTGCGGCGCTACTGTAGTTGAAGGATCTTGCGGTGGCTCGATTAAAAATCCTCTTTCCTTCTGCAGACTCGATCTCGGCGCAGTTCGGCTTGGTGTGGGCATTTTAATGTTTCCCTCCGATCAGTTGTAGGAACGTCGTTTATAACAAGTTTATAGGTCTCACCAAGGTGTGATGTGGGATTCGAATTAGCCAAAGAAACGAACGAAAAGTGCGGAATACCCCTTCCGAGCCGAACAGCGCCTCAGATCTTGGCACAGACTCCGCGTGGGGTCAAGGAGCGGATTTTGTCGCTGTCATCTCCCAACTGCAGTAGCACTAGGACTGCCATGTTAAGAAAAATATGAATATTTGTTACCTAGTTATTGCTGCTCTATAATTTCTTTCTAGGTAATGTTTGATTTGATTGTTCATTGTTGACTTATTGATTGCATGAGAGCCGTTATTGTTGAAGGACACATTCCGTGATAACTTTATGGGCGGAGACTCATAACCATTTGTGGTTTCCTTATTGATGCGCTCCTCCGTCTGATATGGAGAAGAAGAGGAGCGATCCAGTGAGAAAAGATCGGTTGTGAGTTTCCATCCATCGGATTATCGCGGAATATGCCCTTGAAAATCGAAAGTTCTCATAATTCTGTTACTCTACGATAAGCTCATTCTAAAATCTTAGTAAAATTTACAACAATTTTAAACATTTATAAACCTTATTAATGACTAGAATTGTATCGATTGAACCCCTGATTGAGTCACTAAGGCAATAATCCATTAGGACATCGATCATATCCAAGCAATAATGGATCATCACCCGATGAAAGACTCTCGGCGATCACAGTGTACCAACAGTCGTAAGCCTGAATGTTGAATTGTTGAGATTGTTGATAAAAGATTTGTTATCGAATTGTTCGAATCTCTAGCAAGGCCAAATTGCACCTCTAATCCTCCATGTCGTGCAAACTTCCGTGCAATCCATTCTCTGTTATAGTATGTTGAATCGTAGTAATGGCCAGGATCCGCCAACAAGGTCGTGATAGTTAGTCGAGACTTTTGTGGCTTCCTGTAAAGCAGTTTCTCACATTGGTTCAGCTTGCTCATTACTGACAAGGGAAGGTCCAAACAGGTCGCCATGGCCACTTCAACGATGGCAGATGCATATCCACTTAGATCCTCGGACTCGACACTCACAAGTCTTCTTCCCGAAAATTTCCCCACTCTCCACCAGTTAGCGGCCCGTGCCCCGTTCTCTCGCATAGCACTCGCGACTCCCTCCCCTTCGCGTAAGCTCAAGGTAAGTTCCTGTCCAGACGGTCTCAAGTGGTCGATGGTGCTAGGCAGGGTTAGATAAGGCTCCATAGGCGGCCGAGGTCATGGTCATTCCTTGCAGGCTCGGCACTTTTGCTTCTATTTCACTCTCTCTCAGCGGAAACTTTTCTCTTTGTCACACCAGCACGAAAAAGACTCATTGGCGGCAATTTCTGGGGCTTCCCACACCTTGCCCTCCACTCACAAAGCAGGCCTCTCCCGACTTTTTGCGTTCCTCTCCGGCTGAAAATTGCCCCTATCACACTCTCTCACCCTGACGACACTGATTGATCACATCCCGCTCGGCACGAAACCTCCCCACCTGTGTCACAGGCGCCAGCGCCAAAATACCCTAGATCACCAAGTTCGTTGAAAACTTGTCAACTGGGGTAGTTTGACCCCCTAGACACGAATATCACACCCGTACAGTCTGAAACCGCCTGACGCATACGCCACAAGCGACCCATCACAGGCTTGTTCCGACTCCGGCGCGTGTAGCACAGACTCCAGTCGCTTTCGTGCGAGGCTCTGTGCTAGGGCAGTTGGGCAAATTGGCCGAAGTAACGCACCACTCTTCCTGGTTGGCTGTCATAGAAATCCTTCCCTTTGCTGAGGTTCAGCCTGCAGAGAAAGGGCCCCATCTCAGGGGAGGGTGCAGACGCAGGTTGCGCCACACATCTCCTTCGCGCACACATCTCCCTTTTTCTCTATCCCAAACATTCTCAACGCCCCATACAGATGTGACGTCCGTGTTCAGGAGGTCAAACTGCTCCAGTTCAAAAATTTAGTGATTCTGGTGATTTCGAGTATCATGGCGCCGGCGCCAGGCATTCTCGGGCTCAGCTAATGGGATATTTGTGTCCAGGAGGTCAAACTATCCCAGTTGACAAGTTTTCAGCGAACTTGGTGATCTAGGGTATTTTGGCGCTGGCGCCTGTGACACAGGTGCGAGGAGGTTCGTGCCGATAGCGGATTCCCCCTCGACTCACATCATGTTCAGCACTCGCGGAACCCTTAGTAGGCAACTTTTCAGCCAATTCTGCTCACGAAGAAAAAGTCGGACAAAAACTGGCCTGCTTTCGGGTGATTTGGGCAGTGAAGGGTAAACACTGCCTAAAACTCTCCAAGGCGAAGCAGAATTGCCGCCAATTGAGTCTTTTTCTGCTGCAAGTAAGAGCAAGGTTGACAAAGAAACGATAAGGGGTGTTTTCTAAACTCGCAGAAGACGTTCCGAAAAAATGCAAAAGTGCGAGCCTGCCAAGGCAAAATCGAAACTCGGTGACCTCCCGCCTATAACCAAACAACTTATCTATCGCTACACCATCGACCAGTTGGGACTGTATGTACTCGAACTTAACTTGAGCTACGCAAAGGAGGATCGGCGAGTGCTATGCTGAAACCACCCCCCCCCCTAACTCCTCATAGAGAATCGTTCGGCAAATTTTGGAAGCAGATTTGAGTTCAGCGTCCCAAGACCTACACGTCGATATGCATCTCATCTTGAATGGCCATGGCGACCTGTTGACCTTCCCTGGTTAGTAAGCTTTGTTTTCGATGATTATTCATATTTAATCGGAGAAGTCTCTTCTTAGCAAAAACTGCTTCCCCTCCCCCCCCCCCCCGTCCCCTCCAGCGACCATGCAGGGATCCCGTTGAGCAGTGTCGTTTACGCGCCTTGCCGGAGGCGAGATTCAGATTATTTCGTTCTGTGCCAATCGAACCTTTCGTATACTCTGGGTCATAGAACTTGTGGTACCAGAGTTATTCTATGAAGATATCCAGTATTGATAATGTCCCTTTGAAGCTATAGGTATTGAGCCAGAGGCGGCACGGACTAAAGATGAACCGCACCCATTTTTTTTTTGCTTGTCGACTGCCGTCACGAACCAATTTATCTGGCCGAACTTTTCTCCTCGAGAGGGCACGGGCGGGCGAAAAAGCGGGCTTGGTCTAGATTTGCTACTGGCTGCCCCCCCCCCCCACTACTCCACCCTGCCCGTATTTTGGTCTAAAGATTGTTGTCGCTCACTTACACCGCTGTCGCCGCAATATGCATCGACGTGAGTAGGTTCACTCCACTGCTGGTACCACCGGATGCACCCTAAAAACATTAAACCTTGTCACAATTATACTGCTAAAAGATTATATTAGGTTGTCCGGAAAGTTCTCAGCGTTTTGGGTGTTTCACTTTAAACGATCGTAACTTTTTAATACTCATCGGATTTAATCGAAATAGGCACCATTCGAATCAGCACACTTTTGCCAATGTGACAGCAGTCGAGAAATCCCATAAAAGGAAAAACTGGGTGGTCGAGAATCCACGAAATCTACGAAGGTCTTTTTTGCCTGGTCTTAATTGATGAAGTATTTTTCAGCAAGGAAGTTCTGAAAATGTCTGAAAAGGTGACAGTCGGTTGGTGAAAGGTCTAGAGAATATGGTGGGTGAGGTAGAACTTCAACTCCCAATTCGTTCAATTTATGGATAGTGATTTGTGAAACGTGTGGGCGGGCGTTGTCATGCAAAAGAATCGGACCCTTTCTTTTGATAAGTGTTGGCTGCAGCTGACAATATTTTCGGTACATTTGGTCGGTTTGTTCACAGTAGGGTTCTGCTGTGATGGTTTGGCCTGGTGATAAAAAGTTATAGTGGATTACAACAGCCGATGACCACCAAACCTGACCAGAATTTTTTTTCGTGAGGGTTCGGCTTTGAAAATTACCTCGGTGGTTCCTCCAAATCCAACCACTGTCCGGAACGTCTCCTGTTATCATACATGATCCATTTTTCATCACAGGTGACAAATCCGTTCAAAAACGGGTCAATTCTTTTGCGCAAAAGCAGTGAAGAAGGAACCTCGAGACGTGCCGATTCCTGCCGGTCACTCCGATTGTGGGGCACCTAATTGTCGGGTTTTTTCACCTTCCCAATGCGTTTCAAACAATCTACAACACTGGATTTGCCAACGCCTAGCTTTTCTGCAATCTCTCGAACTGTTTGGGATGGGTCAGCCTCCAAAATCCCCTCAAAATCCTCGTCAGATATTGCTTTAGGTCGACCGCCATGAGGTTCATCTTCAAGGCTGAAATCTCCAGAACGAAATTTGTTGAGCCATTGCCGCACAGTGCTTTCTCTAGCACTATTGGGCCCCCACACCTGGTTAATTTGTTGAGCTGTTTCGATTGCGGATTGCCCCAATTTATAGTCGAAGAAAAAAATCGTCCGAAGTGCTCTTTTCACATGCTTGAAAAAATCTTGAAAAAAGGGAGTTCAATAAGCAATGGTGAAACGGCAATTATACCATCAGATAGCGCAAGAAATTCTCTACAGGATGTGCTACTGAGAAGCAAGGCAGAATGAGTTTTTAATCAGCAGTGAATGTACAAAAAATAGGTGCACAAAACGCTGAGAACTTTCCGGACAACCTAAAAATATTGCGCATAAGTGAGACCCACTAACAATTAAATATCAGCCTGAAAACAATAAACATTTATAAATCTCCTACCTGTTCGCGAAGTATCCGCATAGCGGCAGTAGCTGCTACATCTGGTATTTTGACTACTCGATCAATAACAGCGGCATCCATACTGTAATGAGAAAATTGTGATGCTTGACTGATTAGACAATGCACGGGAACCGAAGTTTTGCTATAATAGTGCACTGTATTTTGTTCACCTATGTGTCATCGTATACGCACCACAACAATTGCCACGTTAAATGCGTGGCGGGCCTATCTCGTCGTGAGGAGCTTCGCTGTAATCCAAAGGCGCCAGAAAGGTGTAGGGCGCTGAGCTGGTTATACAATGCAGATAACAACATATGAACTTGATTCAAAAGAAGTGAGGATGGCTTAAAGGCTAGGGCTTGACCGAATAAGGACTTCTGGTGAAACAATTTGTGGATTTATAGGACGGACACTTCGTTCAAGAGTCTTGCTACTCTCCAAAAGATTTTTTGGCGCTGTCTGGCCAAGGGGGCGGTGGGGCTTTTCATCCTTCTGTGCCGTGTCTGTTGTAATCACACTCTTGGCTTGGTATAGACCTGTAGAGTCTTGTCAACTGTCATGCTATGCATTCCTTAACAGGAATGTACAGGTCTCCACAGGAAGTATCAACAGCGATTGACAGAAACCGTAGATGCCCCACCAAACCGAACTGCGCCGACTACCTCATAACTCGTTTTGTAATGGCTTTGTAATTTGTATGGTTTCAGTTCAATCAACTCTTGAAGATGTAATTTCTATGGCTTTTTGTTGTTCAATATTTCTTGTAACATGCAGCCCTGTAGTATCGATACTCAAGGGGAAAGTAGGGCTAATTATGGCTCACCTTGTTGTTTCGCCTCTACGTGCCATTCCCATTGGTCCATAACCGATTCCGGCCATGCCTGGCTCTACCCATAAACTCGCTCCAGATTCGTTCTTGAATCTGAAATTGCTCTCAAAAGTTCGGCAGCGACACAGTAACTTTGTTACTCGTACGCTCTAGTTCTACCATAAGCCTGTACAGAGATTATGCCAGTTGATCAACTACTGGTACCTTCCATATCCTGGCATTTGAACATGGCGTAGGATGCGTTTTCCGAGATATATTGCCATTCGAAGGAACTCGAGGCAGCCTGTCTCGTGCCAAACTAAGACATGATTGCTATTTTCCGGCAATCTGTCACCGAAAACGCCGCGCCGCGTTTGAAAGAACCACGCAGCCACCCTCCCTATCTCCGGGATATGGATTGCACCTCTTGTAGGGAGAACAGTGTTCAAACCTAACCTGCCGTACATGACATAATCGTAGTAGATGGAGAATTGCGTATCGGCGAGAACGATCTCGGTACTGATGCCATATTTCTTGACGTATCGACCAACGGACGAGATAGTTCCACCTGCAATGCGAAGATAATATCGGGCGGGAAGCTAACAAAAGCGTTTTGAATATATTAAAAATGACAGGTGTTCCTCATCAATTCAAGAAGTCTTTATAATTGATAACGTCGCAATCAGTCGGGGCGGCATCTGGAGAGGCGGGATGAGCCCTCCACCACCTGCCTTGCTCTACCAATGGTGATCGACTAGCGATCGATTCAGGAAGAACAACCAGTGGGTGTAGGGGCCGTATATCTTTTGGAACATTTTCAACAAAATAAAGCTTATTCTTCAAACGAATTTTAATCTACTATTGGGTAAAGATTTCAGTTTCCGTAGAGTTTATCATGAAAAGGTTGAGAACTTTCTTGGGAACAGAAGACGAGATGGTTCCAGTGTATCATTAATGACACTCTTTCACCGGTTATGACCTGGGAGGTTCATGTTGCGCCAGCGCGGTGCTGCAAATGGTGTTATGTGCGCGACACTACAGGACCTTATAAATTTGGTCTACGGACAACTTGAACTCAATCCCTTTGAACGCGTCGATCTTCTCTTTTTCTCTGCACTCTCTCGTCCGCATGGCACTCTATGGCCGTTGTGACTTCGCTCACTCCAGCTTTTCACCGACTATAAGTAGCTCACCCACACCCGGAGTCCCCTCCCTTGAAAAATCCCGTTTCCTTGCTCGCCATACGTTTTTTGCACGTTTCGATGCTTTGGCAGCCGCTGCCCTCTATCCGCTGCGCGCTCAGGTGTCGTGACAGGGACCATGACAAAATTCAAGATGTCACGTAACTTGTTTACGCACACACACACGTCATCGTCACGTTATATTATTATGAAGAGCTACAGTAGTGCTGACAATAAGTCAACTAGCTAGGAACGCGAGTCACGTGCGGTCATTGCAACGTCCCACGACACTTTTTTCACCAGATTAGAGTTGTGGCTGTGACATGATAAGTTCGCATTCAAAGTTCAATTGGTGATTCAGGGTCTAGAAACGAAAGGACGAAGTTCCAAGTCACTTGAGATTGATTCCCTTCACCTTCCCCTCTCCTCAAAAATAGTATTCATGAAAAGAAAATATTTCCGAACCATTATCGCGAATCTAACCAAAGAAGTACCACAACTGTTTTTTTTCAAGTTGTCGTAATTGCTCTTGAGAAAAAATTCGTTTACGCGGTTGCCAGTTGGTCACGTATTCAACTTGCGTTTCGAATAAGCATAAGCTTCGGGAGAGTATTTGGTCTTTGGGAAAGCATTTTGCACTTTTGATAGTTCCCATCGACGTGTCGACCCATCTGGACAGCCTCTTTTCGAGCTGCAGGTTTTAGCGTGATGGCTTGACGAGCTTGCTCCATCTTCACAAGAGTTCTACAGAATGCAGTACTTGAACTGAATTAGTGAAGCCGTAAAGTGCCAAAATTTTCGCTCCCTCCCCGCCGCCGCCGAAGTGCGCTTGTTCTTTGGAGTGCTTTGGGAGGTCAAGAGATGTTCACATGGATGTTCTTATGGTCCCATACCAATTAACGGCATTTAATAGCAAATAGCAAGAAGGGTACTAGAAGAGTTACTTGTTTTGGGCGGTTTCTCGACTCTATAAGTGCACGAATATTGAAATGTAGTCTGCTCTGAGAATGGAATGCAACGCGGTGCAGCTCGTGTCATTCTGGCCGAGTGGTCTAAGGCGCTGCGTTCAGGTCGCAGTCCTCTTCGGAGGGCGCAGGTTCGAATCCTGCGGATGACAGAAGCTTTTGCAGAATGATTGTGTTTGGATGACACAGTCACCCGATGGCAGTGTGATTTACACCATATTCTGACAAGTAGTGGTGACATTATAGGCACCGATCATGAGTCACAGGGATACTGCATCTGTCCAATGAAACTGCGGTGCAAGTCGGAATTGGCACAATCATACACCATCTTCAAGCTTCTTACACCGAGCTTCTTGAGGGTTGGGTTAAAAAGACCATTGAGTCAGAGACTGTGATTTCTAGACACCTTCAGTGGTAAGCGCAAACAAACTCCCGGAAAGCCTATTAAGAGGCTCAGAAACTACAAAAAACATGCTAAAAATCTTTGAAAATCCAGAAAAAAAATCAAGATTATTCACATCATCCCAGAAATGTTACGTATTTAACCAGAATAAGGCTATAATAGTACTAGACACAAGTGAGTCCTTACACCTTAACTGTGAACGAACCGGTGCCAGCTGCATGAACGAAGTAATGCGGTACTTTAACATCTTGCCCTCCATCGTTTTCAAGTTGAAGGAGAATTTCGTGGAAGAGATTTGCTGATTCGAGCGGAAAATCGCCACCTGAAAAGATTCTGGAGGCCTGTGGACCATATTCACGGAATGAACTTACTTTCGTGGAATTCTTCTGCTTTGTCAGCATTACCAAACTGGATTCATAAAAAATCCGCCATTCTCTGCGGCTAAGTCTCGTGCTCGGATCAATCTGGAAAAGTCGTGGTCCTGGTGGGATAAGTACTGTTGAAAACAAAGACGTTATTCATGGTCACACCTCTCTCCCAACGGCACTTTGACAACTGCCCCACCGTACTCCTTGATATGCCTCACTTTGATGTCTTCGATGGTGTCGGGAACCTGGAAAAGTGCACGTCATTGCCTTACTAGTTATTTTCGATTAGTTTAGTGGGACCGGCGCTATTCGAAGCTGCCTTGAGGGCCTATACCGCGACCATAGGAAGGGCGGAAAATGATCATGCGTCTCTTCTTCAGACGGGCGGAGTGGATATTGTCCATCAGGAAAGCACCATTGTTGCAGGCATCCGCCCATATTTGCGAGCTCACCTATTGGCGCAGAATGTGCGAGCAGGATACAGCATCGTTGTGTGTAACGCATAGGGGAGGGGTCGTACTTTTCGGCTTGTAGGGGAGGGGTCGTATGTAGCTTTGTGAGGAAATTGCGGCGTTAGGAAAAAATTTTCCCTGTTGTTGACTTTTGCGTGATTTTTCTTGTTTCATATGTATTGCAACCCTTCCCCCACCCCGCTATAGCAAAATTTTTGGAGAAAAGCAGGACAGTTTTCGGAAAATTCCAGAAAGGGTTGTTGGAAGTTGGGGAAAAATTATGATATTTTCCCGCTTCACATGGCAACGTACCCCCCCCCCCCCTCTAAAAAAGTGGGAAATGTGGGAAACTGGTAGGTAGGTGATGGGGAAAGGAGAGCGGTCATACCGAGACCCTCCCTCGAGAGGGGGGGGGTCGTACTGGGACCACAATTTCACACATCAGGATGCTGTACCCTGTGTGCGAGTTTCTAGGTTATAACAACAAATAAGTTGAATAAATAAGTAATTCTGATGAGATACTCACGATTGCCGTGAATGGTACGTTAAGAAGACGGCACATGTAGGCAAGTGAAGCGGCAGTATTGCCCGATGATGCTTCGTACACTTGTGTCCCTTAAAATCTAATAGTAGGCAGTTCAGTGCGTGAAAAATGCCACCCGAGAAATGAGTGCTAAATTACCTTCTTTCACATAGCCTTCGATTAGAGCCCACATAAGGAGCGACCATGCATAGCGATGCTTTAATGAACC